TAGAGATGGGGTTTCACCCCGACCTCAGATGATCCTCCTGCCTCTGCTTCCCAAAGTGCTGGGATTACAGGTGTGAGCCACCGCACCCAGTCTTGAATGTGATTTTTTTAAAAAGATTCATGGGGCCAGGTGCGGTGGCTCACGCCTGTAATCCCAGCACTTTGGGATGCTGAGGAGGGTGAATTAGGAGGTCAGGAGTTCGAGACCAGCCTAACCAACGTGCTGAAACCTATCTCTACTAAAAATATAAAAAATCAGCCAGGCATGGTGGCGTGTGCCTGTAATCCCAGCTACTCGGGAGGCTGAGGCAGAAGCATAGCTTGAACCAGAGTGGCGGAGGTTGCATGCCATTGCACTCTAGCCTGAGCAACAGAGCGAGACTCCATCTCAAATAAAAAAAAAAAAAAAAAAAAAAAAAAAGAGGCCGGGCGCAGTGGCTCACTTGTGTAATCCCAGCACTTTGGGAGACCAAAGTGGGCCTGGGCCTAGGAGTTCCAGACCAGCCTGGGCAGCATAGTGAGACTCCCTTCCTCATCTCCCCCACCCCAACCATCTCTATAAAAAAATAAAAAGCCAGGAGTGCTGTTGCATGCCTGTAGATGCAGTTACTCAGAAGCTGAGGTGGGAGGATCCCTTGGGCCTGTGAGTTCCAGGTTGCAGTGAGTTGAGATCGCACTCCAGCCTGGATCGGGGAGACAGACCCTGTCTCAAAAACAAACAAACAAAAACCCACGCCACTGTGTCCTAGAATTATTCCGTCTAGTTACATACCATGGAAGGTTGTTTACTGTTGTTTTTGGCATTGTCTTTTAATTGTTTTGTAGAGATGGGGGTCTTATCATGTTACCCAGGCTGCTCTTGAACTGGACTCAAGCAATCCTCCCGCTTGGCCTCCCAACTGCTGGGATGGCAAGTGTGAGCCACCGGGCTCAGTCTATTGTATTTTTATGCATAAATATCCTTATTCCTTCTTTGGAAAAGCAGCCCCCGGGCCGGGGGTGGTGGCTCACACCTGTAATCCCAGCACTTTGGGAGGCTGAGTCGGGCGGATCACGTGAGGTCGGGAGTTCAAGACCAGCCTGACCAACATGGAAAAACCCTGTCTCTACTGAAAATACAAAATTAGCTGGGTGTGGTGGCACATGCCTGTAATCCCAGCTACTCAGGAGGCTGAGACAGGAGAATCACTTGAACCCAGGAGGTGGAGTTTGCAATAAAGCCGAGATCACGCCATTGCACTCCAGCCTGGGCAACAAGAGTGAAACTCTGTCTCAAAATAAATACATAAATAATAATAATAAATAATACAATTATTTAAAAAATAATACTACAGACAGGGTCTTGCCATGTTGCCCAGGCTGGTCTCGAAGTCCTGAGCTCAAGCCATCCACCCACCTCTGCCTCCTTGAGTGTTGGGATTACAGGCATGAGCCACCTCACCTGGCCATTTCATAATACAATGTAACATTCCTTAGAAAACTTTACCATTACCTAGATTGTTTTACACACCGAAACCATCCATTTAGGTAGCATTTGTACCAGTGGGGCATTCCTACATCACATTATTCCTTTTCCCAGTTTCACTCTTGAAGTTGGTCAGAGCACTGCAGTTGTGTAACTATTGCTCTCTCTCTCTAGCCTCTCTTTTAGTACTGACAGTCGTCCAGTACTTGGCTAATGAGAAATTAATTTCTTAATACAGTATGAAAGAATTATGAACATGCCTCTTCCTTCCCAGAATGTCCTAACAGCATTCTAGAGGAAACAGAAAATCATGAAATGTGGAAAAAGTAAAGAAAGCTGAACATAGCTGTTTGACTTGACCTACAGTACACACACACAGCACATACGTAGATACATATTAAAGACTAGTATTTGTTAGCATAGGCTACTTATTTATATTAAAAATAGATTATTGGCCTAGCAGAGGGGGAAGCTGGGGTCCAGGAGGTGGAGTCCGAGGTCTGCCCACTTCTCGCCCTGCCTTAAAAAAAAAAAAAGATTAATGTGCAAAAGGTTTAAATTTGTTTTTCCTTTCTTGTTTTAACGTTTCCACATTCAAGCTCAAGTGATGATAATAATGATGATAATGACTTAAAAGTGAAACTGAAATGGTGAGAGAAGTAAGATTAAAAAGGGAACTTTTTCTTTAATATTTATCTGGAAATACCAAAAGTAGAAAATGCGGATACATTTTGAAGACTGCTGTAAAAGGCTTATGAATTACTCCCCTTTCCTAAACTAATAATACTGTTAAAATTTAACAGTAGTAACATGTTAATAACTAATATTTCATATTAGGAAATATTACAATATTTGAATTAAGTACTTTTCATATTCAAACAATCCGAGAATGTAATCTAAATTTAACACAGATTTCCAGAGGCAGAAACTTATGTGGGTGAATGTGAATTCAAAAAGAATTAGCAGGAATGAAAGTTCTTTGCACAGTAAAATCTCCCTGATTTGGATTGACATTTAGTGAAAAGAATTGGTTGCCTGTTCTTAGAGAAAGAGTGTTCAGTAGAAAGTAGAATAGTCTGTGGAAATAGTATACAGTACTATGAGTTTTTCATGGTAACCAGATTAACAAAGCCTGGCCTTATACTGACCCTGCTTTCATAGGGATAAATAGTATGTAATTAGTTTACTGAACACCTGTCTCCAAGACAGGCATGTCTGTGAATCAGGATTTGAAAGCAATTGGTTATACATTTTAAAACTGCTTCTGTTTACTATTACTTGCTTAGAAATTTCTTTAGTACAGCTATAGACTTTTTGTTTTGTTGGTAGAGATGGGGGTCTAGTTCTGTTGCCCAGGTTGGTCTCAAAGTCCCGGCCTCAAGCAATCCTCCCACCTCAGCCTCCCAAAGTGCTGGGATCACTGGCATGAGCCACAAAGCCCGACCTAGACTTTGTATTCAGAGTCAAAAAACGTTTATTGAGGTTTATTAGGAATTATACAGCATAATATGCACTGTCTTTCAAGCAGTTATCTATGCTTGGTTCAACAGTAATTTTCTTTTTTTTTGAGTCAGAGTTTTGCTCTTTTTTTTTTGAGACGGAGTTTTGCTCTCGTTGCCCAGGCTGGAGTACAATGACGCGATCTCGGCTCACTGCAACCTCTGCCTCCTGGTTCAAGCAGTTCTCTTGTCTCAGTCTCCCAAGTAGCTGGGATTACAGGCATGCGCCACCACGCCCAGCTAATTTTGTATTTTTAGTAGACAGGGTTCCTCCATGTTGGTCAGGCTGGTCTCGAACTCCTGACCTCAGGTGATCCACCAGCCTCAGCCTCCCAAAGTGCTGGGATTACAGGCGTGAGCCACTGCGCCTGGCCTCAACAGTAATTTTCATAGCTTCTTAACAGAAGAAATAAGGCTGTACAGAATTTATATTCTATCTTTCAGTGACTATATAATTTTTTTTTTTTTTTTTTTTTGAGACGGAGTCTTGCTCTGTTGCCCAGACTGGAGTGCAGTGGCACAATCTCAGCTCACTGCAACCTCCGCCTCCCGGGTTCAAGCAATTCTGCTGCCTCAGCCTCCCGAGTAGCTGGGACTACAGGCAAACGCCGCCACGCCAGGCTAATTTTTTGTATTTTAGTAGGGACAGGGTTTTACTGTGCTGCCCAGGCTGGTCTCAAACTCCTGAGCTCAGGCAATCCGCCCGCCTCGGCCTCCCAAAGTGTTGGGATGACAGGCGTGAGCCACTGCGCCCGGCCCCTATATAGTCTTTATAATTATTGTTTAATTCTTTTGAGAAGAACCTTGTTAAGACAAAAATCACCAAGACTAAGTGAGAACACATATTCTCTACAGGGCTTCTATTTCCTTCCTAGAGATTTTCCTGAGACAGACTAATTCTCTCTATAACTTAACCTATTTAAAAAATATGCAGAAAATCATAGCATGACCTGGAGAGAATCCATGCTTTATTCACCAACTAGGCCTCCTTTCCCTGTACTTTACATTCCACACCTATACACACCAAATGAAGTTGCTGAAGATGAAAAAGATAAAAATGCAAATACCTAAAGATGTCCTTTTTTGTGTACATTTCCAACTTTTGTGTATTCCAAGAATTTACGATGTAATGTCTATGTTTCTAGCAAAAAAGAACTATTTCTCTATTTGTAGTTGGTGTCTAGAGCAATTCTAATGTAAAGAAGTTTTGCATTTATTTGGTACTATTGAGTGGCTGAGCCGCAAGGCTGCTATTTCCACTGAGTGGAGATACAAAAAGATGACTTATGAGTCCCAGTCCTCAGGATCTGAGTATTGGTGGATCACACGTACTACAAAAGGAAAGCATTAGGAAGTGCAAATCAGTTACTTTGAGCTTCAGATGCAAATAATTTCCAAATTGTCACTGCCCAAAATGCTTTAAACATTCAGGGTTTTGTCACAATTTCAATATAACGGGGGGGGGGGGGGGGGCGGGACCCCACAGCTCTCTATTCCTTTGTCTTTCAGACTCCAAGAACTCAGACCGTGGTGGTGACAAACTGGTGACTGACTGGTTGAGAAGAATTTGGAGGGGGCGTGCAGGGCAGGAGGCTTTACCACCAGTCCCTGGGTGCGTCATCCTTCCTAAAGCCTATGGTGTAAAAACCACCACTCAGAATGGCGGGGTTCATGGACTTTTCACCAGGGCCAAACCTTCGATTACCTCTGATGAGCCCCAAAGATCACAGAGTAGCTGACTAGGCCAGGTCCCCCAAACGGAAAGGCGCGACGGCTGCAACATCAGCGGTTAAATGGTACAGCCTTTCATAGGCCGGTCTAATGCATCCGTACTAAGATTGTTAAGGCTGAGGGTCCCTGGACTGGGGAAAACGAACGGAGGCAGGGGGTAGGGATACGGGAAGGAAGACAAGGAGGGTGTAGAAAAGGGGGAGAGGAGGGGGCGGGACAGCATGGGGAAGGTCTCAGGTTTACGGGCGAGATCGTGGCGTTCCCATGGAAACGTATCCCTCCGCCCATGACCCGCGTGTTCGTTTCTTCAGTTCCTTCCGCGTCGTTTCTCGGCTGTTTCCGCCCAGCTCCTTTGTGCCGCGCAGAACAACGGGATGACGCATGCGCAGAGCCCAGCGGCCGCATATATAAATGCGAACCCGGGCTCTTCCTCGTAGTGCCGCTGGGACTGTTGGCGGGTGTGGGTCTGTGTCAGTTTTTGCGTCACTCGAGCCCTGGGCGCTGCGAGCTGAAGAGCCGAGCACGCGGGTCGGTCATCATGTCGCGTTACGGGCGGTACGGAGGAGGTAAGAGACTGGAGTCCGGTGGGGGACGTTGCTGTGGGTGTAGTGAGCACTGCGAGGCCATAGGGTTGGCGCGGCGGTTGGGAGACGGTTATTCCGCGTGCGTAATGGCGGCTTCGGCGCACGCCATACGAAGCCGGAGGCAGCGGGGGCGGGGTGCTGAAGGGAGACAGAGGATGGCGGGTGTACATCTCTGCCGAGTTCCGTACTCTCGGGCATTTTTGTGGCCCAATGCAGCCTGAAGCAGGGTTGAGATCACGGTTTTCGCGTTGCCTTTCTCGGAGCCGCCCGGCGGCCCCCCCCCCCCCCGCCCTCGGCGGCGGCTGCCATTTTGCGCACATTGACGACCGTGGTGGCGCATTTCCTCAGCGCTTTCCCGCCACTTCAGCGGACAGATCTGGCCGCAGCTGTAAGATCGTGGTTGTGTTTGAGAAGGAACGAAATTGACAGCTGTGAGCTGCGTGTTCTCGTCAAACAATCGGTTAAATTGCGGAATGGGAATGGGGACGTAATTTGCGACTGGCGGCTGGTTTCTTTTTCTCTTTTAGTTCTTTCGAGCGCGGTTTATGGCTCTGGGGCGGGGAGCTGGAGTCTTGGGCAAGCCTGTGCCTGGGGCGGTTGCCGCGGAGGAAGAGAGCCGGTGCAGCCCTGCTCTCCCTGCCCGGCCCCTACCGAGGCCCTCCCGCCGCCGACGCCGCTGCCGCTGCGGGCCCGCGCGCTCCCGGTGCGCCCGGGGCTGCCGGGACTCATGGGCGGGGCCGGGCCGGGTCCCGCCCCACGCCTCGGTGTATCCTACCACGCATTTCTGTGTTCGGGAGGGTCACTTCGCATTATTTAGAACGTTAAGAACTTTGTCAAAAGTCTAGTTTTTCATGGATTTGCGGACTTTCACCAGTTTTAGGACTAAGTTCAATCTTGGATAGAGGGCATTTAATGTGCTTTACCCAATCTTGAGGATGGCCGGTTTTAAGGCTAATAATTGATTGAAACTTGGGCCAGGTTTTGCATGACGTGCATTCTTCTATTTGCGTTTTTAAACAGAAACCAAGGTGTATGTTGGTAACCTGGGAACTGGCGCTGGCAAAGGAGAGTTAGAAAGGGCTTTCAGTTATTATGGTCCTTTAAGAACTGTATGGATTGCGAGAAATCCTCCAGGATTTGCCTTTGTGGAATTCGAAGATCCTAGAGATGCAGAAGATGCAGTACGAGGACTGGATGGAAAGTAAGTAAGATGTTATGAAACTTCTGTTCATTAAAATATATTGTGGCTAGATAATAAACTTAGTGCTAAGCTTGGATACTGAAGTCTGGAAGAGACCTTAAATAGCTAGTCAGAGTGTTACTTGCTAAAGGCACACGAAGGTTAAAGAAGATAGCGGAGATGGAGTTAGGGCTTAGTAAAGACCGCCAAAGTTGGTGAGGGGGAAGGAGTGGTTGGAAAGAGTTCTTTTTAAATCTAGAAGTCCTGAATATATTTTTAACTTTAGAATTTTGTTAATTTACTTTTATTAGAGTGATTTGTGGCTCCCGAGTGAGGGTTGAACTATCGACAGGCATGCCTCGGAGATCACGTTTTGATAGACCACCTGCCCGACGTCCCTTTGATCCAAATGATAGATGCTATGAGTGTGGCGAAAAGGGACATTATGCCTATGATTGTCATCGTTACAGCCGGCGAAGAAGAAGCAGGTATTTATTTTAATAAAGGAATGGTTGGTATTCTAGTTAATCAAGTAATTCTTTTATTAGCAAGGCAGAAACTAGTGTTTTTCTATAAACTTGAATGTTAATTGTACAGGTGTATTTTACAATTTTTGTTTAATTAAAAAAATGTTACTATATTAATAATCAACCTGGTCAAAACCTTTCAGGTTTCTTCGTTTGAGTCAGTCGCCTTGATTCAGAATGTCACGAGCCTTATGATATCATGCTGAGGCGCCTTGCAAATCCGACAATTAAGATCCTCCTAGACCTTGAGGTGATCAGCATAAGAGGCCAGATCCCCTCGAGTCATCTACACCTAGCTTCACCTTATTCTTTAAAGGGCAGAAAATTTGAGACGGTGATCGCCGTAACAGTAAATTTGGCTTACAATTGGGGCCCCCCTCCGGTTTAGAAAGAGGAACACCAGATTGACCACATTCCCAACTAGAAAAATCTTCTTGCGTCAATCAAGCCTCACCTGGCTCATTTGGCTGTCAGTTTGATCGTCGTTAGATTGAAGAAAACATCTAGATGCAGCGATCGGCTATAGATACTTCTAGATCGTCTAGATCTACTAGACCATGGGCCAAAGAGGGTCGACCTGCAAACTTGCAAGGTTTATTTTAAATACACATTACAGTGTTTTATATTATGTAATTCTAAGTTGTAATTCAGCTTTTAACAAATCTTTTTTTAGGTAGTAAAAAAAAAAAATACTCAACAACTAATAGGCCCAGAGTTTATTTCCAAATGAGACACTAAATTTAAATAGTTTTGAGATTTGATTTCAGCAGAGGCACACAAACTCTTAAAAACGAGTTATTGTCTGACATTTTGTTTTTTCTCTAACTTGAAAAATAGGTCACGGTCTAGATCACATTCTCGATCCAGAGGAAGGCGATACTCTCGCTCACGCAGCAGGAGCAGGGGACGGAGGTGAGATCTTGTTTAATTGAAGTCTTTTTGTATTATTATTAAATTCATTGATAGTCCAATACAGAAAGAAAAAGCTCACTATTTTTTTGGAGACAGGTTCTTGCTCTGTCACCCAGGCTAGAGTACAGTGGCATAATCACGACTCACTGCAGCCTTGACCTCTTGGATTTAAGCAGTCCTCCTGCCTCAGCCTCCTGAGTAACTGGGATTGTAGGCATTGCCACCATACCCAGCTAGTTTTTCTTTTTGTAGAAATGGTCTTGCACTGTTTCCTAGGCTGGTCTCAGGCTCCTGGGCTTGAGACCAGTGCTGGGATTACAGGTATAAGCCATTGCACCGTTCCCCAATTGAAGTCTTAACAGGCCAAAAAAAAAAAAAATGTGGAGATGGACTTAAAGTTGTTTATTTTAGGTCAAGGTCAGCATCTCCTCGACGATCAAGATCTATCTCTCTTCGTAGATCAAGATCAGCTTCACTCAGAAGATCTAGGTCTGGTTCTATAAAAGGATCGAGGTATTTCCAGTATGTAACACTTTCTTTTCTTATTTGTGTTTGGGTTGTTCACATCTTAGCAGCAGTAGAGTGTCTTAAAGACATTCAAATGGATTGTTTCAGGGAATATTTGAGATGTAAAAGTTTGGAATTGATACGTAACTTGTAACATAAATATTAATCTAGTTTTTATAGATTGAAGAAAACGGCTACTAGAGATTTTAAGGCTTGTTAGAGAGGCCATGGTGGTAGAGAAAGGTCCAAAGCAACACAGTTTTAGTGAACACTCTGGATAGGCATACTGCTATAAACTTGTGGCTTCAGATTAGATGATACTAGCTCTGAAAGATGGTAATTGATTTTCCCGACAAAAAGGCCGGTTAGAACCAGGAAAAGAGATTAGAAGCAAGTAGTAACATTTCTCATTTTTGGAATGATGGGGTTGATTGGAGACACTGGAAAGTTGGGGCAGTAGTGTGTACATACAAATGAATGTGGATTTTTTTTTTTTTTTTTTTTTTTTTAGACAGAGACCTGAAAAAACAAACTTAAGAACCAGAGCTTTACTCTTTGTAGGCGGCCTTAAAAGGAGATAGAGTGGAAAAAATTGTAAAATGAGTATTGTAATATGTAATTAATAATATTCCAATATTGTGAGACAGCCTTGCTCTGTCGCCCAGGCTGGAGTGCAGTGGTGCAATCTCTGCTCACTGCGAGCTCCACCTCCTGGGTTCACACCACTTTCCTGCCTCAGCCTCCCTGGTAGCTGGGACTACAGGCGCCTACCACCACGCCCAGCTAATTTTTTGTATTTTTAGTAGAGAACGGGGTTTCACCGTGTTAGCCAGGATAGTCTTGATTGCCTGACTTGTGATCTGTCCGCCTCAGCCTCCCAAAGTGCTGGGATTACAGGCTTGAGCCACCACGCCTGGCCCAACAATATTATCTGTATCAGTGATAAAACAGTGGTACAGAATGCTACTGGGAGTTAAATTGCTGTTTAGTAGCACAAAACCTTTAAATGCAGGAACTCTGAATCTTGTGGTCTATTTGAGAAAGCTATGGACTATCTCATTAGATATATTTAAAAGATAGATATGTCCGATTTGGTTTGTCTGACAAATTGATGGCTCTCAAACATAACGATCCAGGAATGTAAAGCCTTACTAAGTGGTGGCTTTCTTCTCATCTGGCCTTATCACCTGAATTAGTCTCAGTTCAGGAGTCTGGTTATTTTCTTTTTTCTGTTTTTTTTTTTTTTTTTTTTTTTTTTGAGATGGAGTCTCTGTGTGTTGCCCAGGCTGAGTGCAGGGGCGCGATCTTGGCTTACTGCAAGCTCCGCCTCCTGGGTTCATGCCATTCTCCTGCCTCAGCCTCCCCAGCAGCTGGGACTACAGTTGCACGATGCCATGCCCAGTTAATTTTTGTATTTTTAGTAGAGATGGGGTTTCACCATGTTAGCCAGAATGGTCTCTGTCTCCTGACCTTGTGATCCACCTGCCTTGGCCTCCCAGAGTGCTGGGATTACAGGCGTGAACCACCACACCAGCTGGGGTCTGGTTATTTTCATCCTGTCTTAGCCTCCTGAGTAGCTGGGACTACCATTGTGCACCACAGTGCCCAGCTGAGGAATCCGTGCCTTAAGTGAGGTTAATTTTGCTTCCTTCATACCAGTCTTATCAAATGAAAACCATGTGTTTCCCTTGGATATTACACAGTGTTTGAGAATATTCCTGTACGGGAACTGTAACCAGCTGAGTGATAGAAACAAGTAATTGAAATGGTGGTTCCTTATGTCTCGCAACAGTTTGTTTGAAAGTGTGTTAGAATAAGGCAAGTGTTGTATCTTGCTTAGTCTTAGCTTCTCTACGCCTGACCTACCTAATACAGTGTTGAGTAGTTGTTTAAGGAAATTCCTTTGGATAATTGATATAATTGTGTTTTTCACTTTTTTATTAAGATCCCCGTCGAGGTCAAGATCAAGATCCAGGTCTATTTCAAGACCAAGAAGCAGGTAGGGTAAAAATTTGATTATGCTCTTCTAGTTATATGGCACCAATATCCAAAGAGTTCAAAGTGTTTTTTAATTGTTGAAATTTTAAGTGTTAACTCTAAACGTAGTTGTTAGTGGGAACACAGTACCTTATTTGTGTATGTCCTATTTATTACTGACTGACTTTCCCTGAAAAAGGGAATGTAAAACTGTAGTGAGAAAGAAGTTTGTGACTTTGGGGATTATATTAAAGAGGCCCTTGTTAGAACTGATAGGTGCATGGAGAAGCATCCTGAAATTAATATGCAATGTAAAAGATTAATCATGATACAGTAATTGGTTCATTTTTTTGAAAAACAGTTGTTGGAAGATTGGCCTTTGTTAGCAACAACTGGTAGGATGTTTTTCAGTTTAAGTGCAGTCTGACATTTTAAACTTAGGACCTTTGGGGGTTTGTTTTACGGTATTGGTGACTACAAGAAAGGGATTGGTTAGTACTCTTTCTTTAATAGAATTTCTCATGTTTTGACAGCCGATCAAAGTCCAGATCTCCATCTCCAAAAAGAAGGTAAGCGAAATGTTTTGTTGCCAGATCTTGCCTGTCAAGTGTGGCCTCTGCAGAATTTGTTTGCTTACTGCTTTGCAGTCTTTGAGCTCTTTGGAGAATTGGTGCTATATAGATTAAAATACTATGCTAAGTTTCTGAAATGATTGCTTTTCTTGATTCAAGAACATTAGTTTATACTTTAGCTGGAAATATTTAGTCATAAAATGTTAGTGTGATTATTAAGATGTGATTGGTCCTGTGAGTACTTGGTAGAAATTTTGCTAAGAAACATGCCTTTTCCCCACATGTAATAGATACAAAGTGAGGAGAAAAGTCTTGCAAATAGTTACCTGCATAGTGCTAATGACCAGAAAACTTGAAATAGTTGTCATATTTAACTGCAAATTGACCCTCCAATTTTGACAAGGAAGATAGCCTATTTTTTTTTTTTTTTTTTTTTTCGAGATGGAGTTTCCACTCTGTCGCCCAGGCTGGAGTGCAGTGGCACAATCTTGGCTCACTGCAGCCTCCGCTTCCTGGGTTTAAGCGATTATCCTGCCTTAGCTTCCTGAGCAGTTGGGATTACAGGCCCACCACCACGCCTGGCTAATTTTTTGTATTTTTAGTAGAGACGGAGTTTCACCTGTTTGGCCAGGTTGGTGTCCAACTCCTGACCTCAGGTGATCCACCTGCCTTGGCCTCCCAGTGTTGGGAGTACAGGTGCGAGCCACCGTGCCCGGCCAGGGTAGCCTAATCTTAAGCCAGGGACAAAAGATGAATATGTAAATCTCATGACATTTTGACATCTTTGCTATAGGAAATTAGTACCTTAGGCTACCTTTGAATTTATTGAAAGTTAGTACGTGTACATGAGAGTTTCAATTGACACTAATTGGATCCAAACCTAATGTTTTTCTTTTTAGTCGTTCCCCATCAGGAAGTCCTCGCAGAAGTGCAAGTCCTGAAAGAATGGACTGAAGCTCTCAAGTTCACCCTTTAGGGAAAAGTTATTTTGTTTACATTATTATAAGGGATTTGTGATGTCTGTAAAGTGTAACCTAGGAAAGATAATTCAACCATCTAATCAAAATGGATCTGGATTACTACTCTGTAAATTCACAGCAGTAAGATAATATAAATTTTTGTTGAATGTATTAACATCCTATGGTCTGAAAATGTGGGTTTTTATTTGGCACATTTAAATAAAATGTTTCTAACTAGATTTTTGATTTGTGTTCAATATTAACACTTCTCAATTTGATGAATTTCAGAGTCAGACGTTATAATTGTTAACCTTATTCATACAGACCTACATTCAGAATTGAAAGGTGTTGGTTAAGTCTTGAACATCACTAACTGTTCTATACATAAAACTTGGCCAGGATCTTAAGGGACTTTGAAAATTAAATTTTACCCTTGTAGCTTTGGGTAAGATGACCTTGAGTCCCCTATAATATAGCATGAATGCATCATGACAGATCCTTAAGTTAGCTAATCCGTTTGAAGTTGGTGTTAGTAGGTATTGTCAAACTAATGATCAGTGGTCAGGCTAGTGGGACCGCTGATCTGTCTGTAAATGAGCATGACAGGAACTAAGCAAAAGTGATTAAATGTATGACAAATAGGGAGAAACTGATTTCTGGATGATCTTGATACTAATTGCAGCTTTCAGGCTACTACTAGGTGGCATAGTGTCAATTAGAACTCCCCAACATAGGGGGAATTCTACTCAATGGTCTTTCGTTTCTTTGCTTTCTACATTAGTTATAACCAGTTTTATACCAAAAAAATGCATGTTTGAGGAATTGTCTGAAATAAGGACAAAACACCATGTAAACCAGCTTTGCAAAATTTTCCAGCCCAGATACTACTCCTGTATTCAAATGGATTGTCTTATTCTGAGCAAAGACCTGGTAATCTTCAAGCTAGGTTTTGCAGTTCCCAACTACCAACATTCTTCTATTTTGCCAGGCTGGTGCAAAGTAATTAAAGATGTCAATCAGAAATGTCAATGAGACTAAAGTGGTTTTGTAAATCTCAGCTATATTTAGCAACACTCCATGTAGCTAATTTTTTTTTTTTGGTAGCATCTGGTAGACCTTAGAATGTTATAGCCAGTAGGTTCTTTATTCAGAATTAAAATATATTAAGAATAGTAGGGCAGTAACAGTTACTTTTGAGAGTTTTCTGGTCAAGCTTTTACCAGGCATTCTCTAGCCTTGGTACAAAAAAAAAAAAAAAAAAAAAAAAACCCTGCTGGTTGCACAGATACCTAGGCTTGTCCATTTTATGCATTTCAGCAAAGTCATTGGATACCATTGCAACTTGGGAATACTGGTCTGCATCAAGTTTATTTGGTAGTTTGATTGCTAGTATGTTGGAAGTTATTTGGATTCTTTGTTTTTGGAATTTTGACAACTGGCTGAATTATGGTTGGTATAAAGTTATGTGTATAATTGACAGGCTTATTTATCTGTTGCACTTGGTTAGCTTTAATTGTTCTGTATTATATAAAGATAAGTTTACTCAACAATAAATCTGCAGAGATTGAACAAATAATCCTGATACTTAATTTTTGGAAGTGGGAGCTCTCAGCCAAAAGTAGGCATTAATCCTGTAGCTTTAGGATGGGCAGCTAGCAGCATCCTAGAAATGAGCATTGAAAGGCTAAAAAGGGTATGGAGGAGGGGTAGGGGCAAAAATGGTTTTAAACAAATTCTACCCTTGGGAAGAGGGCTGTCTGGGCTCTCTTACATCACATGCAACTTGGCACCCCTGTTACTGATCTCAAAATAAGCTTTGGTGCATCTCCCACTTGTTTTCTGTGATTGGAACTGCCAAATAGATACTGATTTGAAAAGTGCTGGTCCAGACTCATTCCTTCTAAACTTACAGCCTAGCACTGATGAGGAATCATTTTTTTTTTTTTAATTAAAAATTTTTTTTTGCTGGGTGTGGTGGCTCACACCTGTAATCCCCCAGCTACTTGGGAGGCTGAGCCAGGTGAATTGCTTGAACCCGATTGAATAGCGGTTGCAGTGAGCTGCGATCGCACCACTGTACTCCAGCCTGGGCGACAGAAAAACTCCGTCTCAAAAAAAAAAAAAAAAAGTGTTGCAGTGAATAACTGTACAGTGTACACCACTGACAGGTGAACATGCTTATCCAGATCATCCTCGGAAATGGAATTGCTGAGTCAAAGGGTATGTGCATTATGATTTTTGCTGGGTATTGTTGGTTTGCCTTCATGGCAGTGTATAGGAATACCTGTTTCTTTGAATCAATTCCTACCTGATGGGCTATCAAACTTGATTTTTACCAATCTCAAGTTGAAAAATGCTCTTTCAGCATAGATTTTTTTTTCTTTTTTAAGATGGAGTCTTGCTCTGTCACCCAGGCTGGAGTGCAGTGGCGTGATCTCCGCTCACTGCAACCTCTGCTTCCTGAGTTCAAGTGATTCTCCTGCTTCAGCCTCCCAAGTAGCTGGGATTACAAGTGCCCACCACCACGCCCTGCTAATTTGTACTTTTAGTAGAAATGGGTTTTGCCGTGTTGGACAGGCTGGCCTTGAACTTCTGACTTTAGGTCATCTGTCCGCCTTGGCCTCCCAAAGTGCTGGGATTACAGGCGTGAGCCGCCGTGCCTGGCCTCAGCATACATTTTTTTTTTTTTTGAGGCGGGTTCTCACTCTTGCACATGCTGGAGTGCCTTGGTACATTGGCTTACTGCAGCCTCTGAACTCCTGGGCTCGAGTGATTCTGCCACCTGTCTCCCGAGTTGCTGAGACTACAGACATGCACCACCACAGTGGGCTTATTTATTTATTTTTTATTTTTCGTAGAGATCTGGCTTTGTTGCCCAGGCTATTCTTGGACTCCTGGGTTTAAGTGATCCTCCCATTTTGGCCTCCCAAAGTGCTGGGATTCCAGGCGTGAGCCACTATGCCCGGCCAAGTTCTACATTTTGAAGTGGTTGAAAAAAAATTGTTCACGTTTTATGACATGTAAATTGTGTGAAGTTTGAATTGTAGTGTTTATAAGTTTTACGGAAACAGCCGTGACTTGTTTGCTTATCGGCTGTGACTGTTTTTGTGCTAACAGTAGTGGAGTTGAGTAGTTGTGACAAAGTGCCACAAAGACTAAAATATCTACTCTCTCCTTTTCATTTTATAGAAAATATTTGCCAGCCCCTGGTTTAGACATTTGTCTTCAACTTTACAACTTTCAAAACAATTTTTACCTGGAGATCTTGGGTACCAAGATTATTTGTAGGGTTGCCAGGGCCTTACTAAGATAAGACTTTTGGTCTGGGAAGACCGACTTCTCCAGGACTCATTCCTTGAAGTGCTTTGTGAAGCTAGGGGGCAAATTCTAGCCAAACACATTTACACACCATAAAATTGGTGAATGAGATCATAGTAGGGAAAACTTTTACTCTAGGACAGTGGTTCTGATTGCTAGTTGCAGACTAAAATCACCCAGAGTGCTTAAAGACATTTGAATGAAAGAATCACTGAGGGTGGTGAAGCCTGGGTATTAATCTAAACATTTTACCTGGTGATTTTTTTCTGAAAGCATGTGTCACCCAGGCTGGAGTGCAGTGGCATGATCACTTGACTCCCTGAGCTCAGGTGATCCTCCTGCCTCAGCCTCCCGAGTAGCTGGGACTACAGGCACGTGCCACCATGCCAGCTAATTTTTGCATTTTTTTTTTTTTAAAGATGGGGTTTTGCCATGTTGCTTAGGTGGGTCTTGAACTCCTGGGCTCAAGCATTCCACCACCCTCAGCCTCCTAATATGTGCTAGGATTACAGGTGTGAGCCACAGTGCCTCGCCTCTCCCTTGGTTCTAATATGCAACCAGAATTGAAAACCACTGCTCTGGAAGTGGTTTTTGTTATTGAAGATTGGCTTGGTTTATTCTATTATAATAAGGAAGTAGCAGCACTCACACGTGCTTCAAAGAAGGATTCTACTATGTGTCCTCTAGGTTTCTCTGTCTCCAAATGATCCCATGCTGGAAACAAAACTGAAAAAAACAGAAACTGCATTTTAATTTATATTAGTACCAGTAGAGGTCACTGTGCTCAAGGAAATAATCATCTTTTAAAAAAAGTTAACGTTCTATTCAGAAATTTTGTTTTTTTTTTTCTTTTTGAGACAAGAGTTTTGCTCTTGTTGTCCAGGCTGGAGTGCAATGGCGTGATTTCTGCCCACTGCAACCTTCGCCTCCTGGGTTCGACCTTTTTTCCTGCCTCAGCCTCCTGAGTAGTTGGGATTATAGGCATGTGTCACCACGCCCGGCTAATTTTGTATTTTTAGTAGAGACGGGGTTTCTCCATGTTGATCAGGCTGGTCTCAAACTCCCGACCTCAGATGATCCACCTGCCTCGGCCACCCAAAGTGCTGGGATTGTACAGGTGTGAGCCACCACGCCTGGCCCTCTATTAAGGAATTTTGAAGATATTTACCAGGTCTCTCTGATGACCTAAACTTCCCTACACTCTGTCACAAAGAAATAAAGCCCTGGCAGGGCCCTGAAGGAGGACAGGGTTTTGTGTGTGTGTGGGTTTTTTTGGTTTTGTTTTTTGTTTTTGTTTTGTTTTGGAGATGGAGTCTCGCTCAGCCGCCCAGGCTGCAGTGCAGTGGCATGATCTCGGCTCACTGCAACCTCCTCCGCCTCCCAAATTCAAGCAATTTATCCTGCCTCAGACTCCCAAGTAGCTGGGATTCAGGCATGCACCACCATGCCTGGCTAATTTTGTATTTTTAGTAGAGACGGGGTATCGCCACGTTGGCCAGGCTGGTTTCAAACCCCTGACCTCAGGTGATCCTCCCGCTTCAGCCTCCCAAAGTGCTGGGATTATAGGCATGAGCCACCACACCTGACCTAAATATTTTTTTTAGTATAAAAAATTAAGATAAATGTGTTACTTAATTCCTCTTGATTTTTTAAAACTATTTTTTAGTTAGTGGTTGAATCTTAATTTATCACAATGTAGTTCTGATTAATATTCTGGTAAAATATAGAAATTATACTCCAATGCTATTTCCTTTTACTCCTCCCTCCTTTATGCTGTTTTTATGTATTCTAAACTCGATACTGTGTTATAATTATTGCTTTATGCAATCTTATGTCTTTTTTTGTTTTTTTTTCTTTGAGATGGAGTCTTACTTTATTGCCAGGCTGGAGTGCAGTGGCACGATCTTGGCTCACTGCAACCTCTGCCTCCTGGATTCAAGTGATTCTCCTGCCTCAGCCTCTCGAGTAGCTGGGACTACAGGCGCATGCCACCATGCCCAGCTAATTTTTGTATTTTTAGTAGAGACAGGGTTTCACCATGTTAGCCAGGATGGTCTCGATCTCTTGACCTTGTGATCCGCCTTCCTCACCCTCCCAAAGTGCTGGGATTACAGGTGTGAGCCACCATGCTCAGCCAATCTTACATCTTTTAAGAGAATAAATGAAAAATTACAGCATCTTTCTTTTTAATCCATATATTTACTATTTCTGATCTTTATTTCCATGGATTCTGGTGTAATTTCAGTATGAAGGACTTCCTCCAGTATTTCTTATAAGGCAGGCTTGCTAGCAATGAATTCTCTAGTCTTTATTTCACCTTTGCTTTTGAAGGATAGTTCTGGGTGATAATTGAATCTCTGGTTTTGAAGCACTTTGACCATGTCATTCCACTGCATTCTGGACTCCATTGTTCCAGATGAGAAGTCAGCTGTTCATTGTACTGGTGCTGGTGGTCCCCTATAGCGAGGAGTCATTTTTCTCTTGCTGCTTTCAAATTTTGTTTGCTTTTGACTTTCAACAGTTTAAATGTGTCAACAGTTTGATGTACCTAGATGGGAATCACTATCTTGAAGTTTGTTGAGCTTCTTAGATTTATAGATTAATGGTTTTCATCAAATTTGGAAGTTTTTTGCCATTATTTTTTCTATCCCTCTCTTTGGACTCCCATTACACATACACTCATGTGCCTATTTTCTCACAGGTCTCTGAGGTTCTGTTCAGTTTTCTTCAATCTCTTCTGTTTTTCAGATTGAATAATTCCTATTACTCTACCTTCAAGTTCACTTTTTCTTTTGCTGTCTCAAATCTACTTCTGAGTCTCTCTAGTTAACTTTTTTTTTTTTTTTTTTTGAGACACAGTTTCACTGTGTCACCCAGGCTGGAGTGCAGTGGCATGATCTTGGCTCACTGCAACCTCTGCCTCCTGGGTTCAAGTGATTCTTGTGCCTCAGCCTCCCAGTATTACAGGCACAGGCATGTGGTGACATCTGGCCAATTTTTGTATTAGTAGAGATGGGGTTTCACTAGGTTGACCAAGTTTCACTTGAACTACTGTCCTCAAGTGATCCGCCTGCCTCAGCCTCCCAAAGTGCTGGGATTACAGGTGTGAGCCATTGTGCCTGGCCTCTCTAGTTAACTTTTCATGCATTATTGTACTGTTTTCAACAAACTCTTCACTTGATGCCCCACCTCCCTTTTTTTTTTTTTTGAGGTAGTGTCTCACTCTGTCACCCAGGATGGAGTGCAGTGGTGCGATCT